AATATAGAGTCACCGAGCCCATCGGCGGTTAGCCACCATCTTCAACAGTAGAAACCTCACCGCAACATGGTGGGATAAACTCGAGTACTCGAATGTACTCACTAGACTTACCCGTCATAACCGAGAAATAAAATTGACTCCAAGGAGTATGCAAGGCTTTATAAGTGGAGGTAGCTTGACAACATTTTGCATAAAAAGCGATTAACTCAATTATACAATTATAATTACATCATCAAGTTAATTAGAACTATCCATCTCTAGATTAGCAACTATCCAGTGCCAAACATGTGGTATATCTTTTTAGAGCATACAATAGTAACCATAGCAGGTATAGTAATTCCATGTTCATCCGAACCATCACATTCCATAATCCAATTACTACGATGTTGGGACTAGCCAAGTTTCTCACTATCCGGGAGAGACGGCGATTCGAATCGATTTCAACCAGCTGGGAATTTATTCCTAACACAAACCCAGGCAGACCAGATCAACGGTCACCTTAGGTCACCTTTGGTACAACTCAGGTACACATTTCGCGGGTCCGTACCGCGCCGCACAATCTGGAACACCAGATGCCAGGATGCTCAGGCCAAGCCTGCCCTTGGGCTCAGTCTGATCGTTCCCCGGAAGGAGCGCACAACAGAACGGTTCCCGGCCTAAGTTGAATTACTCGGCTTCGCGGTCGGAACGAGTTATCCGGCCAGCTAAGTGAGAGGCATGCGTTCAATCTTGTCAGAAGCGCCAACAACGGTACGGTCCTTAATCGACACAGACGGGGATAAGTCCACACCCAAGACCTCCCTGTCTTGTTGCTTCTCTATCGACTTCCCGTCCGGTCTCGATTTACTTTTACTCCATGGTTCTTGTTCCACGATAGCAAATATAGCCAACCGTGCTCCGGTATCCCCTATATCTCGCAGGTGACAGGACATCACCCGACTTCTACCGGTCTAAGCATGGCTAAGCATATATTCGATCCTGGACCTATACCGGTTAAAGGTGTAATATCTGGACAAGGAATGTACATGCATCAAGTGGTTTCATTCAACTCTTATAACCTAATGCATCAATCATAAATACGTAAGTAAACATTTGTAAATTACTGGGAGACTTATAATGCTCCGGGGCTTGCCTGGGATCCGACACAAGTCAGTTCAGTTAGCTTGTACCGACTTGGTGACATCTCCGGTCCTAGCACTTGCTTAGTCCTTCCATCTTCGGGATAGATCCATCAAACACTGTCTTCGGGTTTGGCTCCAACATCGCATCCTTCACGTGGTTCATCTAGCGTACCTAAATGAGATGCAAGATGCATGTGTATGAATGTGATGAAGGATAACACAACATGCATCACATAAGCTTTCAAGACAAACACAAGATTATGCAAGACATAGACACCAATAGCTATTTTAACTAACATCACACAACTAACTATAGAGAGCAAGCACATCAAGCATGACACAAGTTTAACAAGGTCACAAGTATCATAACTTGATCATCAACAAGGGCATAAGCCACACTTAGCAATATACAAGCAACCACTATAATTGGAATCTGCCAATTTCGGGACATGCAAACAGCAGCTACAAGATTTAGCTATAACCGGAGTTACACAAATCCAAATGACTTGCAAGAAGACATTCTGGAAAGCTTATGAATTTATCTACAATTCATATTTAATCATCTTAGCATGATTCTCAAGTTAACTAAGTCAAATATACACATTTACAGAAACTGGTCTAAACAAGACAGAGAGTAATCGATTCTGTAACCCAACTTTAAACAGGCATAACTCACAAACTACTTGGCCAAATACCACCAAATTTTAACAGAATCTAGATACATGAATTATCTACAACTTTGTTATTATCACCAAAAACTCATTCAAATCCTAACTAGATCAAACACTAGCATCTTTCAGATCTGCTCAGAATAAAATCAAAACTTGACCGAAGACTTAAAAGTCATGTAACTCCTAAACTATCAGGCCTATGGTCTTACAATTTGAACACAAGCAAGATTATGAAATTTGCTACAACTTTTGTATTCACTACAACCATAGCAAACATCATTTACACCACGAAAATAATTGCACAAGCAAAACTGCAAATCCAGCCCAACAGCAGTGGTATAGAAAACGGATAGAAACTTCAGAGAAGCATAACTGGAGTTCTAGACCTCCCACAAACATGAACCATAACTTTTTGAAAAGATTAGGAAGTTACCTACAACTTTCTTATTCTCATATTAAGATGATTCTACAGTTAGAAGGGTCAATTAATCCAATAATTACAGCTCTGTCAAAAACATAGACAGAAACCCGACATGCCACTTTAAACAGCTATAAATGGAGTTATATATGTCCCATAAATATGATTCTAGACTTTTAGAAATCTTAGCAAATTGTAAACAACTTTGTTGTAAACACCTAAAGCTAATTCTACTAGTAAGAAGGCCCCACAGTAAGAACAAGGAAACCTACATGCAGGTTTAGACAGAAACAGCCACAGAGATTTAAGCAAGTATAACTCAAGATCTACTTAGCCAAAAATCATGATATTTAACTTTTTGGAAAGCTTAAGAAAAGTACTACAACTCATGTATTGTCATCAAATCATGATTCATAACTTAACTGAGCCAATTAATTCAAACATGCAGAACTGTTCAGAATAGGAGCAATTCAGAACAGGGCATTTGTTATTTTTATAACTCTTAAACTATAAATCCTAAACTCATGAAATTTTTACCAGACAACAACAATCATCTTAGTAGCACTCCACAAAAATTTCACAATTATTTGAGCACAACAACTGCAGTTATAAAAAAAACAAATAAGACTAGCATTCAAACCCTAACTGCACAAATCCATTTTTACAGCTACAACTTTAAACTAAAACCTGACATATTATAGATCTAGTGCATAGAGAATTTCACAAGGATTCCAAAAAGTCCTCATTTGCTAATTTACGAATTTCCTATGATTTACTATGAAGTTTCAAAGTTTTACCCGATTTACAACAAATAAGTCCCTCGAGGCACTATTCACTTGAGTCAATGACATCGCATTTAGGCCCTTCCTTTAGTCGAATTTTAAGACGAGGTCCCTGACGGGATTTGGAGCAGAGGATGCACTTTGGACTTCGTCCGAATCCGGCCGGAGGAGGCTTTTCAACGGCGGCGGTGGAGTGGTGGTGGAGCATCGAGTCGTGGCGCACCCAGGGACACTCAAAGACGGCCCGAGGCGGCCCGGAGTTGACCCGGCCACGCGAGCCCGCTGCTCGGCGGTGGAGCACCTGGCGAGGAGGGCACGACGGTGGCGGCGATGACCAAAGCTGGCTCCGGCTGTCCGGCTCCGGCGCCGCCTCTAACGACCGCCCGCTTGGCACGGGTGGCTCAGTGGCTTGCTAGCCGCAGCGTGCAGCGGCGGCGGCGACAAGAGCTTCATGGCGAGGCCACGACGGCGCGAGAGGCGCTGGGAAAGGAGCTGGGAGGAGGAGAGGAGGTGCGGTGGCCCTAGCCTCGCGCCCACGAAGGAAGGGCGCAGCCCGTCTGTAGGAGCTGCGACGGCCGGTGGAAGCTCCGCTCGACGGCCATGCTCGAGCTCATGGTGGCATTGTGCTTGGTGGAGAGAGCAGGAGAGGAAGGGAAGGGAGAGGAAAGAGTGGAGAGGCGGGGGGCTCGGTGCGCACTTATGCACGCAGTGGGCGAATCAGGCGCATGGCTCAGTGGAGGCCACATGCGCAATGAAAGCAATGCAACACGCGACTCTGCAGCTCAAGCACAGTGTCGGCCTTGTTCACCAAATTCAAAATTTCAATTCTACCTCAAAATACGTCCCGAAAGCCTAAGTTCGTCCATCCGTAACTCCTAAACAAAGACGATCTAGCAAAAACTCTATTGATAAAAGTTGTAGATCTACATACCAGCTCCAACTTTTATTTAGAGGTTTTGATCTAAATCTTAATGGTTCGAGAGTAATATCAACCCAAAGTGCAGCACTTGAAACTATGCTTGCTCTCGGACTTAGAAAAAATTTTCACTCAAAAAAAAGTAATACTTTTGTTACTTGTGGACTATATTTTTTTTAGTAGGCTATGCACCAATTAGACTTTTACCCAATTATAAAAGTTGTTTATCTAGTCAAGTACTACAACTTTGCTTAAGGGTGCACTTCCATGCAAGTTTCTAAAGTACAATTCAAACCAAGTCAAAGTAGCATCACTAGAAGCTTAAATCCAAGTTTTAGACCGATGGAGGTATTTTCTTGTCCTCCGCTCAACACGAACCCTTCATGACTTTTGTTGTAGATTTCAATTTGAGTCGTTTGGGCAAGGTAGCAAGGTTTGGTTGACGATATATAATTCCATTCACTTAATAAAGCAATCCAAGAAAGATTATAACTTATCATTTCATGTAACTTTTTGATTCCAAACTTCACGAAACTTTTCCAATCATCCATGTGGGTGGAAATTGATGTGAGGCACATGAAAGAAGTAGATCCAATATTACTCAAGCATACTTTTTGGAAAGGGCAACATGTAAGCAATGGTGCATGGTCCAAGTTTAATTGGTCGCTCGTTTTGTAGATTTGATCTTGAAACTTTCGTCACCACTTAACATGTCATGTTTGAGTTTAAACCCATTGCTTAATTGGTGACAAACACCTAGGGTGTTACAAACTCCGTCAAGGATCTAGCAATTGGGCTGAGAATGCTGACAGAGGGGGTAACCCTAACAGAGGCATTTTTGGAGCAAGCACAAATGCACAATCTTAGAACTCATGTGGAACTCAGGTGTTCGGATTTGCAAAGATGGATCAATATCGACATGTCCTATGCCGAGCGGAGCTATAATCAGAAGATCTTACCCCACGTTTAATTGGAAGAAAATCCCCGAATTTTGCTAGCCAGTGAACCGTACTGCTCAATTGGGACCAAACCGAACACACCTCTCAATCCATACATCCCAGCCAAAATGAGAAATTTAGGGCGAACACGAGGTCACGGAACCGTACCGGAATCGAGCCTGTCCCCGCCGGCGATGCGCGTCCAGGACGAGAAGTAGTTGTGGAGGAGGAGGGCCGCAACGAGGAGGTTAAAGGCGCACACGGCGATGGTGGCGTTCTTGTACGAGAGCCTAGACGACGCCGCCCCAGCTCTCCAGTTAGGCTGCGCGTCCATCCCGTCGTCGGCGCCGCCGTGGAGCTCGCCGGAGGGGAAGGAAACCGACGAGGCGACGAGGCAACCAACCCGGATCGGCTGCCGCCTGCAGCTGTACCTAAACAACGCAGAAGCCCAGCCCACGTCATCTGGGAGGCTGGGCCGTCCGCCCGCTCACCCAGCGGTCCGTATTGGCTGCGCTGTAACGGCTGGAAGTGGGCCTAGGCCTAGTAACGCGTGGGACTGGGTTGGGCCACGGCCCACGGATTGGCAGATCCGGACGCCCCCAAGGCCTCCAGCCCTACCATTCCTTTCTCTCTCTCTCGCCGTCGTCGTCGTCATCGCCACCACCACTTGGCCCCGCTCGTCGCCTCCTCCTCCTCCGATTACCACCACCGTACACCGGCGACAAGGACAGCGACGATGCAGGCGGTGGCGTGGAGGCGTCACCTCCTCGACCACCACCTCTCCCCTTCCACCTCGGCCGCCATCGCCGCCTTCAGATCCGCCTCCCAGCCTGGGCTCGCACCCCAAGGTAGCTACCATTTCCCTCCTCCGCACGCGTTGCCCCTCCCGGATAGATAGATCTCAGAGCCAGTTGCCTTTCAGGGCTGTGTGGAGCGGATGGCGCGAGGTACATGTCGTCCGCGAGGGCGCCGGCGGTCAAGGGGTCCGGGCATCTCGTCCACAAGGGCACCGGAGGGAGGTCTTCTGTGAGGTGAACACTCGGACTCCGTTTCCTTCCAGTTGATTGCTCCTGAATTAAACGGCCATAAGTGTTGCGACGGCTTGTACCTGGTTAGCCCTCTGGGTGAGATTGAGCTAGTGTTGTGAATTTGTGATCTATTTCAACTGCCAAACATAGACGGAGTGCCTAGTCAGCCTTGTCATGACCTTTGTGATGCTCAGTTCATCAGATCATGCAGTTCATAGAATCACACTTGGCAATGCATGCACCAGATTGAGTTAGTTGATTGCTTGGTGTGGTAGCTATTGTTTGAAATGTTCGTACCATTAACTTTGCCTGATCTGAAATATAGTGAGGACCCTAGAATTCTGTAGCCTGGAAATTTCTGAGTTACAGTTCCACTCACGGTTACCGTTGCAAGAGTGTGTGGTGATATATGAAAACCTTCAGTAATCTTATTACTAGTATTGCTAGTAAGCTCTTTCTGGTTGATGTTTTCTTTGCAATTGTTAGGTTGCTAACAATTTATGACCTAAGTTGTTGGACTATGTCATCGGGCAAAGTTGCTGCCCTTTATCATTTTGAGTACCGACGGCTTTCGTAGCTTTGTGAGTTACAGGCAGGTGGATACTTGTGTTAATTCGTGATGCATATTGGTTTGCTCATGTTAATCAGTTTAACCATGTAGATGATGCATTAATCCTTGTGCCTTTTGAAGTTGTGACATATTTTAGTGGATGGCATTGCTTGGTTTGGTTTTGCATGGAATCTAAACCGTTGCAACGTAGCCTGAGCCGCTTTTCTTATTTTGCAATGCTACAGTACCGTTCATCTCTTGCACTGTCTCTTCAAAACTCAAAACATGAAATTAGCTATTTAGGTTAGAGTACATATGTGTGATGTGCTTATATTTCTTGGTCCAGCATGATAGCTCCATCATCGCATCTCCCATATCTGTATGCAAACACTAGAAATTTCCAGTCATAGTTTATAGTTGTCTTAATCATGTACCTTACCTTGGTTTATAACGAGCATATTTTTTTTGCTTTAATAGTGGAATTGTAGCCACAGTATTTGGAGCTACTGGGTTTCTTGGGCGTTATCTTGTGCAACAACTTGGTGAGACTATGATGCTATATAAATTGAATTTATGAATAGAAGGGTTACTCAAACGTTAATTGTTGTGCAGCCAAGATGGGATCTCAAGTGCTTGTCCCATTCAGAGGTTGTGAGGATTCTCATCGCCACCTGAAGATTATGGGTGACTTGGGTCAGGTAAAACAGTAAACAAGTAGATTACTGTGTTTAGCAATTAAACCCTTTTTTATTTATTCATCCTTTTGACTTCTGGCAGATTGTGCCGATGAAATACCATCCAAGAGATGTTGATTCAATTAAGGCTGTTATGGCCAAGTCAAATGTGGTTATTAACCTCATAGGTGTGTTTAACTTGGTACATATATTGTATTCAGCTTTTCATGATCACATCTTATTTTGACTTTGTTAACTCCGTTTCAACAGGACGAGAGTATGAAACAAGGAACTACAGCTTTGAAGAAGTAAACCACCATATGGCTGAACAACTTGCAACAGTATGCCCTGTCCATTTTACTTTCTGTTTCAGATCTGCTATCTAAATATGTTGGCCTTTTTTCTGGAAAGGGAAAGTATGTAACCTATTTCTGCAAGGGCCATTTAAAATTAGGATTCGATGGTGCCCAGCCATAGTGAAAAAACTTGAGCCCTGGGACCCTGGCTCTGGGCCTCTGGCTCACCTATGCACATCACATCATCACCAATCTCCCCAGTTCTCTTGCATATGACTGCAAGTTTAGGTTGCCACTTAACAGGATCGTGTAATTCATGGCTGTTGATTTTCACTGTACCTGTGTAGTTGGCTTAGGCTAGGTTGCACCCAGATCTGGCATGACAAATCAAAGATATATTAGCCTTTTCTAGTCTGACATTGGGTAACTGTAGCTGGCCTTTTGGTTTAGATGAATTCTTCTATCTCACTTTTGTCTTTCTTTTTGTAAATGCTTGTAGGGCTTAGCTTCTTGGTTCAGTGTAGAGGATGTTGCTTTACTTCCTTTTTAAAGTATAAAGTAAATAACATGTCTCTCCTCTCACTGAGCCATTGCGTCATTGGTCTGTTAGTTTAGGGCTATATTGGCAGGTTCTGATAAGAATAGAACCGCTGCTTGTGCATGAGTTTTTGCCCTGAGGAATTTTCTGATTACATAATTTCGTCATCAAGCCACTGCCCTGAGGAATTTCCTGATTACAATTTCATCATCAAGGCACTAGCTGTTTATGCTGCATAAACAATTGGGAAAAAAATCCTATCATTTATGTTACTTATGTTTGCAATATGAGAATACAACTTGTGACAAGACTTTCAGCGATGCCTGGCTAGTAATGGATGTTCTGTTCTACACAGATTGCTAAGGAGCATGGTGGTATCCTGAGATTTATCCAGGTTTCTTGCCTAGGGGCATCACTGTCTTCTGAATCTAGAATGTTGAGGACAAAAGCTGCAGGAGAGCAATCAATCTTGAAAGAATTCCCTGAGGTGATAATTTTTTTTTCAGCTTTAGTAATTCACCAGGCTATGATAATTATTGTTTCAGGACCATCTAAAGGCCAAAGCCATCAGTAAATTGTACTCCAGTATCCCTTTTCTAAGCAATGAGTTTAACCAAAATTTTGTTTATATCCATCGACAGGCTACAATCATGAGGCCTTCTACCATGATTGGCACAGAAGATCGAATTTTGAACAGATGGGCACAATTTGCAAAGAATTGGGGTTTCCTCCCGCTTGTTGGTGGTGGATCTACAAAGTAATTGAGCTTACCTGTTGACTCTCCTCCTGATGCCTGACCTGAAAATGAGTTCAGGACATGAAATGATCTTTTATGCATGCTAGAAGTTCTTTGCCAGCAGTTAAATTACATAATGTTTCCTTTTGCAGGATTCAGCCTGTTTATGTAATTGATGTTGCTGCTGCTATTGTCAACTCCCTCAAGGATGATGGCACTAGCATGGGAAAGATATATGAACTTGGGGGCCCTGAGATTTACACTGTCCATGAGCTGGTAACTGTTACTCCAACCTTGTCCTGATGAATATATTTTAATTTGCATATGTGAAGGAAAAGGAGATGTGACCGTGATTGATTATGACAGGCTGAGCTGATGTATGAAACAATCCGTGAATGGCCGCGATATGTCAATGTTCCTCTTCCTGTTGCAAGGGTATGAATTTAATTACTAGTAAATGTTGGCCAGAAAACTGGGCATTAGGTAGACTCTTGTATTGACTTCTGTGGTTCTCAGGCTATTGCTTCCCCAAGGGAAATGTTGCTCAACAAAGTGCCGTTCCCCCTGCCAACCCCTTCCGTTTTCAACCTAGATCAGATCAATGCATTCTCTGTAGACAACCTCGTGTCTGAAGATGGTGAGGATCTCACTTACAAACCGAGCAATATCTTGTTTCGCTTTGCTCAATGCATCTTGCTCAAGTATTTCCCATACATCCTCTGCAGCTCTCACCTTCGAAGACCTCAGCATCATGCCTCAGAGGCTGAAGGGGTACCCGGTGGAGTACCTCATGTCATACAGGAAGGGTGGGCCAACATTCGGCTCGACCGTGAGCGAGAAGATGAGGAGCTCCGAGATGTAGGGGCCTCGCCCTGTCTCTGAAGACACTGTAGATTCATGATCATTTAGCTGCAGATGCATTGTTTTGTTTGTTGTTCTGGCCATCCATCGCCGCTGCGGCTGCGGCTGCCTCACCGGTTGGAGCAGCAGGACCCAAATTTCCATGCGTGGCTCCTGCTCATTGTCTTGTTTATTTACGCCAATAAGGACCCAAATTCCGTGCAAGTGAAGAGAAGAATCGTTCCAACGATTTTACGGCTGAGAGGTTTCACACAGCATGATATATATAACCCTTGTTTCTGGATACATTGTTCGTTCTGTCCAATTGTTCTGCTTGGTACTCTGCATATTGCAGCTGCAGCTGCTTCTGCTCTGCTTGGGCCGGCACGAACAGAAACGGGAACCCTGCAGTGCAGGCATCTGGGACCCTCGAACGGTGGGCTGCGTTGCGTTGACAGAATCTCTGCAGCGCTGCGGAAGCTGCTCTGGACTGTGTCTCCCAACAACCAAAGCTGACTGCCTGACGAAATCTGCAACGCTGCAAAATCTGTTCTGGTCTCTCTAGTTTAAGGGTCATTGGAGTTGTTACCGTTTGACTGTTACTGTCACATGACTAGAGCTCGTCCCCATAAGGCCATACTGAAATGGACGTGCAACGTACGTTTTTGAACCAGCAAAGATCACCAGTGGCGCCATCATGAGAGATGGATGTGCCACCATCCAAGTTCCAACCAGTGGAGTAAAGCCAATTACTGATGCTACTACATGGGCCAGCAACAATCACGCAGTGATCACATCCATCGCTGCTAATGTGCCAGCATGGTTCTGGTTCCCGGAGCCATTCAGCCATCAGTCACGCAGCTGCCCTGCCAGTGCCACTGGAATACTGGATCTGATGTGATGCGTCAACAGACTCACGTACCACGGCAGTGTTAGTTACATTTCCATTCTCGGCACGTTTGTTTGATCGATCAACTCACTCCGTCCTAAAATAAATGTACTTCTAGGGTTTAGATGAATAGATCAAGGTTATTGAAAAATTACATACTACCTCCGTCTTAAAAAGAACGTAAATCTTATTTTTCAAGGTAAAATTAGTGTAGGTGCAAAATTATGCATTTACCTTTCCTCCATCATTCTCCCCATAAGTAGAAACTGAAAAACAATAATTACATTCTAGAATGTTTTTCCCATAGATGGATAGAGGAGTGGTAGTTTTAACTTTTAATAGGTGAGTCCTATTGGAAAAGTTGATCTCAGATTTACAATTACATTCTTTTTGAGACAAGATTTGAAATACATGATTACATTTTTTTTTAGGGATGGAGGGAGTATATGCCCCTATAAAGTGTACTCCGTAATCATTACACCTCGGGAAGAGAGAAGTTGAAAAAAGACAAGTGAAGTTGGTTTGTTTTATACAAGTAGAGGTGCATCTATTTTGGAAAAAAAAAATTAAACTCTAGAAGTGCATTTGTTATAGGACGGAGGGAGTATCTCGTTCACTGCTCATATGTACTAACCATTGCAACAAAATCTATTTGCGTACGGTCGTAACAAATTTCTATCCGGTTCACGTACTGTTTGTTTATGCCATTTTTTTTATAATCTCTTCCCACGACGGCATAGACTTGTAGTCATCGGCGGTGTGGTTTAGGGCTAGTTTGGATGCTAAAATTTTTGGCAAAACGCTACTGTAGTATTTTCATTGTTATTTTACAATTAGTGTCCAATCATATTCTAATTAGGCTTAAAAGATTCGTCTCGTGGATTTCGTCTAAACTGTGTAATTAGTTTTATTTTTTATTTATATTTAATGCTTCATGCATGCGTCCAAATATTCGATGTGACTGAAAATCTTAAAAAATTTGGCATTTTGAGGTGCAACCTTAGTTGGACCCTACGACGTACGCACTAGCCTATAGACCTCACCAGCATGCATGTTTGGCAGATTATTGTTGTTTCTCAGACTGCTGGCCATGATTGTGGGATTTGATTCATCAACTGTTTTCTTTATTTATGCACAGGGTGTCCATTCTTCATTTGCAATTGGCAGTACATCAATCAACCATCCAGATTGTAAGCATCGGCTGATGGCGCCTCAGCATTTTTAAATAAAGGTCATCCCATCCCTATGAAAGTTAGTCAATCAGCAAGCCCCTCCTAGTCTGTGGACAAATGTAGAGCCTTGGAAATGTTTTCAATATTCATGGACGAATGAAGTACTTGTTTTGTTTTCAAGGTCATTGGAGAACAATGGCGGATCCAGACCCCCTGGGGTTTGTTTTTCGAAACTCAGTCTGTACACAGGCGCTCTTGTGCTGTATTAAAAGGTTAGAGAGGAAGAAGTGAGGAGAAGATGAAGAGAGACAGAGAGGTGGGAGAGGAGGAAAAAGAAGCAACAAGACTTGATGCTAGGTCTGCCCCTGTATATGGGAATAAAAACTCCCTATATATATATAAACAATCTTCCAAAGATATTGACACGCATGTGGGAGTTAGTCACGAGCGACATATATTTCAAGTTCTTCAATCTATTTGGTTGATACCATGACCAATTACAGTTCGGTGGGTCGACCCTATACTGCATGTGACCATCGACCAAGAAAAGAGCAAGAGGTAGATAACGTTGTGCAAGGTAGCTCAACCACGTACTCCCTATATTTTTTTTCATGTTGCACTACCTTTGTTCTAAATTAAATATTATATCCTTTAACCATTACTTTTTAAAAATTATATTTGCTAACAACATAAGATTTATGTTTTAAGTTTATTATCGAAAACATATTTATAATATATATAATTCACATCTTGGGAAACTATATGATTTCTTAAAAAATGATTTATTATAGTTGAAATTGTTTGACTTAGGACAAATATAATAGGATATGACAAAACGGAGGGAGTAGTTACTGCACGGGATCTACACTGACATTTAACTTTTCTAAATGTTGTACGGCGCACTTGCATTGTGCCGGACTGATCATTATTAACGGCGACACATGCATATCAAGGGAAACCAATGCAACACTGCACGATTGCATGCAGAGCCTCGTCATCATTTACAATTATATTAGTTATTAATCATTTCCTATCGTGATGCCTTCGGACAAAAGGCAAGCCGCATGGTTTGAGGCCCTGGTTCTTGGCTCAGTGCGTTCGTGTGGCACTGGCAACTCTATTTATCTTTGGATCTTTTGGCAGGGCAGATCCTGCGGAGAAGGGAGGGACAAGCCATTGATGGGAGGTTTTGACCCTTCTCTTCTCCCAACGCGTTTACTTGCTCATCCTCCCTTCTTTTCTTTTCTTAAAAAAAAAGGGAAAGATATTTTTCTCGTTCTCTTCTGCACGAGTATTGTTACATCCGATCGTAGCCGTTATTCAACCTGTTCGCTTGTCGTTGATTCGAACAGGGGCCTTTTTTCAGCGTGAAACGATATGATCTTTCTTTGTTCTTTGCAAAGATATGAGCTTTCCTAGTGTGTGTGTGTCTATATATATATATATATATATATATATATATATATATATATATATATATATATATATATATATATATATATATATATATATATATATATACCACTCTGTAGTTGACTATAAAATAACTTATTATGTAGCCACTTTGAGTTACGATAATTACTATATTAATTTATAAGATTACAGTAACTCCTTACTAAGTGGTTTACTATAACGTTATGGTAAATATCCTCATATATTATAGGAACCCAACTATCATAAATACATAATATATATATATATATATATATATATATATATATATATATATATATATATATATATATATATATATATATATATATATATATATATATATATATATATATATATATATATATATATATATATATATATATATATATATATATATATATATATATAGACACACACAAGGACTAAAGAGAGAGAGACACACACACACAAGGACTATAGTCTACTCCATATATACTACTAGTTATCACTTGAATTTACTTGCACTCGTGGCGTCTTCAGCTATAGCTTACCGGTTCAGAAAGTGTCCTATCTTTAACGCCACACATGTTTTCGACTTGAGATGCAAAACTCCTCACTTTTGCTTTCCTTGAAAGAGCGCACAGCGCCAGGCAGTACACATTTTTCTGTTGAGTGGTAGGAATAGCTTTGGGGTTGCACTGTACGTCTTCGATCGATCGCTATGCATTTTTATACGACTTTTATTTCGGTGCCAAGTGATACAGTATATCAGTTGAGCAGCACCCACCTCTACCACAATTCTTGTTTCCAGCATTATGTATTATTATTGGGCTTTACTACTGCATGCACGCGCAGGATATAGCCTCCTGCCGCGCGCACCACACTAGCACAGTATATTTGAGTCAAAAAAAAACTCAGCAGCCTCTTCATCGACTCCGGCACCGTCGCCGGCCGCCCTCTTCTCCAGCTCCGGCGAGTTCGCCGCCGCCATCTTCTCCAGCTCCGGCAAGCCTCCCCCGGCCGCCGCTCCCGCTGCCAGCTCCCCCAAACCGCACGCCAACCATCCTCACCACCTAGCCTACCTACCTCCCCCGGCCGAACAACCTATACCCCACCGGAGTTGGAGAAGAAGGGAGAGAGAGCTCGCCGGAACCCTAAAAGCCAGATCCAGCAGCAGCAGCAGCATGAGGAGGATAAGGACGAGGGGCCTACCTGGCGGCGGATCCGCCGCCGCTGCGGCCAGATCTGCCATGGCCATGCACGGGGGGAGGCGGTTGGGGCTGGGGAGGCCGCTGGGCGCCGGGGAGAAGAAAGACCGGCGGCCAGAGAGAGAGAGAGAGAGAGAGAGTGAGAGAGTATGGGCGGGGAGGGGACGAGAGCGGGCGTGAGACGGTGGGGTGTGCGCGAGGGGTGTGCGGGCGGTCGTCACGGAGCATGCACGCTCTTAAAGTACATTTTCCAATTATTATTATTACCCTTTTATGATGTGATGATACTAAGGGCACGTACAACGGGCCGTCGAGTGCCGTCTGTGTCCGGTAATTTTTG